AGGCCTTTGGAAAGTGTTAGGAACTGCAAGACTAAAAATAGCTGTGGTCGTCTTGGCTGCTGGGGCCTTCTCCAGTACCTGTCTCATCTTGAGCAAGAGAGCATTCAGTACAGCCCTCAACTTATCAAAACATTTCAACAAGGTCTAGTCTCCATAAAGTCTCCAACGCATTTTACCTGGGTCAATGTCTTGACAGTATCAGCAGAGGTCCAGGATGGAATCATCAGGATGACCTGAAGTCTCTCCTCACCTACTCTGGGAGGCAACCTCTCCAGGTAAGGTGTGAGTCAAGTTTGCAGGGGGAAGCTTAGTTGCTCCCCATGCAATACCCATTCTGTGAATAAATAGCTTTCACTATCCTGACATAAAGTCACAATATGGCACTCTCAATTTGCACTAAAATTCACTTACAATTATAAAAACATTTTTAGCAAGCTTAGAGTATGTATTGCCACATTCATGTCTTAGTTGTACAAGCATTTTTGAGCTTTAAATGTTTAGAGACCAAATAGTCTAGTCCTGACAACTTTTAGCCTTACCATATATTTAGCTCCCTCTTCAGCTACAAATAAGTGAGCAATATTTGGTTATGAATAGCAGAGGGGAAAATGTAAACTAAGCATCTGGAATATACAGAAGAATTCCAGAGACTCCTGAAGTTTGTTTATGGAGAAACTAGTGATATGTGGAGAACTTCACAAAATAGGCTGAACCAGGGTTGATGCAAATGAGACAGAGTAGTGAAATTTAGAATATGAACAAGTGTAATTTAAAAAAATACACCTCTGACTCTGTAAATGAAGGTTTTTGGATTGTTCTATCAACCTCATCAATATCAATTCAATTAGAGCACATCTCTGTAAGATGTTGATTGCACTCACCTTCTCATTGACCTCCTATTCAATAGTTGTAGCAATGAAGGATGCAGTCCTGCAAGGCCTAGAGTGCTTCCTGCAATGTAATGATTATCCTTAATTTTGAGGGTCTGATCCAATCCAATTCCTACTGAAGTCAATGGGAGGCGTTTAACCTTAATGACTATTTGGGATTTGAGGATGCTTTGCACAATACAGGAGGTGTCTGGGGGCCTTGTAAGACTGGGCCATTAATTACTAAAAAAATGCTGACTGATCACTTGTTAAATACAGTTTATTATTCATTTAGTTTCTGTAATCAGTGGTATATCACTAATCCAGCTATGAATGATTAAATGTAACTAGAATTCAGAGAGAATCATTTTTATGTTCTAGAATAAGACTTAACTCTCAGATTGAGACTCAGGATTCCCCTGTTTTAGATGAATATACTCTTCTTTTTTACTTCCTATCCTAACTATTGAAAGACTGTAGTTTTTTGTTTCTCTCTTTGTGATGGAAACCCTCCCAATATAACACAGTATTTTATTTCTTGAAATGAAAAGAATATACAGCACTTCTCAGCTTTAGTTCACATATCAATGTTTGTGTTCTGAAAGCAGGCACAAGGTGAGCAGTACCATGATCAGTATCAGCTCAGTGATTGAATTACAGGCATATGCATGAACAAGGGAAGAGGAAGGGGGTATGTTTAAAGGCATTTAACACAGAAGCCAGTTGAAATTTTCCTTATCTTTAAAAGATATATATATATATATTTTTTTTAAATCAAGCTTCACAGATCTTTACCAGGGTCACGATTCTAAGGCCAAATCATGTGAAGTGCTCATCACCTTTTGGACTGCCACTGAAGTCCCACTACAACCTGACTTCAGAGGGACCAGTCACAGGAATAAGAACTATATTCTGTAGTAAATTGCAGGGCCAGGCTGGCCCCCTGGTGTACTTGGTGAAAGTTGAGTGGTGCAGATAATTTTAAGCCTAGCATTGCTTAAATATATTTGATAGGGTTTGTGAAATGTATAGGTTTTTAGAAGGTATTTGAATTGAAGCATGGTTGCTGTTTGGTGTAAAGATAGGAGTGTGTTTCAGGGGCAGTATGTGGCACAGACAAGAACACAGAGATGAAGACAATGTGACTTGAAACTGGTAAGAGTTCACACATGGAGGGCTGTCTAATATTAGCTGTCGTGAGATAAGAGGGAAGGTGTTCTCATGGATCAGTAACTTTCTAAAAAACAGAAAAGGGTAGGAATAAATGGTCCGTTTTCAGAATGGAGAGAGGTAAATACTGGTGTCCCCCAGGGTCTGTACTGGGCCTAGTCCTATTCAACATATTCATAAATGATCTGGAAAAAGGGGTAAACAGCGAGTTGGCAAAACTTGCAGATGATCCAAAATCACTCAAAATAGTTAAGTTCGAAGCTGACTGCAAGGAGTTACAAAGGGATCTCACAAAACTGGGTGACTGGGCAACAAGGTGGTAGATAAAATTCAATGTATATAAAAGCAAATAATGCACACTGGAAAACATAATCCTAACTATACCTACAAAATGATGGGGTGTAAATTAACAGTTACCACTTAAGAGAGAGATCTTAGAGTCATGTGAATAGTTTTCTGAAAACATCCACTCAGTGTGCAGTGGCAGTCAAAAAAGTGAAGAGAATGTTGGGAATCATTAAGAAAGGGATAGATAATAAGCTCGAAAATAGCATATTGCCTCTATATAAATCCATGCCCATACTGCATGTGATTCTTGTTAACCTGTCTTAAAAAAGATATTAGAATTTGAAAAGGTATAGCAAAGGGCAACAAATTATTAGGAGCATGGAACAGTTTCCATATGAGCATATATTAAAAAGACTGGGACTTTTCAGCATGGAAAGGAAACGACTAAGAGGGGATATGATAGTCTATAAAATCTTGACTGGTGTAGAGAAGGAAGTGTTCTATACTCCTTCACATAACATAAGAACCAGGGGTCACCCAATGGCATTAATAGGCAGTAGATTTAAAACAAACAAAAGGAAGTACTACTTCACACACCACACAGTCAAGCCGTGGAACTCATTGTCAGGGTATGTTGTGAAGGTCAGAAATATAGCAGGGTTCAAAAAAGAACTAGATAAGTTCCTGGAGGATAGGTCCATTATTGACTATTAGTCAAGATGGTCAGGGATGCAACCACATGCTCTGAGAGTCACTAGCCTCTGTTTGCCAGAAGTTAGGAGTGGATGACAGGTGATGGATCACTCAATGATTACCTGTTCTATTCATTCCCTCTGAAGTATCTGGCATTAGTTTCTGTTGGAAGACAAAGAAACTGGGCAAGCTGGACCTTTGGTCTGAGCCAATATGGCTGTTCTTATGTTTCATAGATTCTGTTCTTAGTAATGACATGAGCTATACTACATACTGTATCACAATTGCATTTAAATGAGCATTGTCTGAATGGGAAGACTGAAAACAATAGAAGGTGTTTTGGTTAAACTTATTTTTGTAAAGGTACTTTACTTTCCGTACTTCCACACAATGATTACCTTTTCCTACATGAGCTATTAGTAAGGCAAAAAAGGTAGCTTAATTTCCATTCAAGGAACAATAGATGGTACTGTTTAAGTTATGACTCTGCATAACAATCTAACAGAGAAGAAAACATGATATTTTCACAACATGGGCCAAATTCATCCCCGATATAATTCCATCAATTCCAATGGACGCTCTTCACCTTTGAAGGGTGACCTGGTCTTCAGATAACTTGGACAATGTTGTCATCTGTAATTACATAATGAGGCAAACTGATGCCTGGGGTAAGGATGTCAAAGCCGATGTAGTTGTGCTTGGGATGAATTTGTCCCAGGGAGTCTGTAGCAAAAGTAACACATTGCAGGAGGAGGCAGTGAAGGTAAGAAAAGTATGTTTTTTTTGTTTTTGTTTTTTTTTTCCTTGGGGCAGTAAACCTATCTAGTTGCTTTGGATGTTAACCTCTTACCTTTTATACATTAAATCTGTGAAAATGTTAGTGGAGACCTTAAATATATATGAATGATATGCCTTATTCTGCCATCTCTACTGTTTGTCTATTTTTTCCCTTTTTCAACTTTTCCAGACATCCACCTGTGTGTGTATCCAAACAGAGAATTTCCAAAATGTCTCTTATTTCTAAGACTTTACAGCCAGCATAAAAACTCCTTGTTCCATTACTACCACATGTAACCTCACTTAGTTCAGTACTGCTAGAAATTTTAGAAGGCCTCACAGTGGAAAATCTTTAACTCATTACCTTCCTTTCCTATAGTTCTTCATTTTTGACATTTAGGACACCGGTATTTCCACATTGTCAGCCCAGACTGTACAGAGCTAGGAGCATAAATTTAAGCTCCTATTTCTTTAAAAATCTGGACCCAAAATCCTGTCAACAAGCTTATAGAGGGCCTGCTGATCGGGAGGGAGGGAGGGTTTAAGCACATGATACAGTTACTGTAATTTGGTAATTTAGCCCATGTTAGTTTAAGGAAAATAACTAATCTTTTTGTGAAGAACTGTTGGCCATAGTAACTACTTGGTGTGTCCTAATAAAACTGCAGTAATGGAAATACTGATGCTATATTTCACCAAAACCTTAAACAGGCGTGTGTGTGTGATTGATATTTATATATATATATATATATAATTTCTCTTCACTTCTGATTATCAAGAGATGTATGTTAACAAGGGGCAAAGCACCTATTTATCAGCTTTCTCTTCTTGCCTGATACATTCAGGAATTCCATAAACTGGTACTAGTGACATCACAGCTGCCTTCTGCAGAAACAGTTGAGAGGTTGAAAGTGCTGGCACTTACTTATGCTTAAATGTCGTGGTAAGCAACACTAGTGGAGAAAGCAAATATCGATAATAAGGCTTGGAGCAAAGTCACTTAAATAAATGTTTGCCCCAGTACAGTGCTGCTCTATTTTCTATTTTGATAGACCAGGCCATAGTCAGGGGTAACATACCTCACTACTTTCTTTTATTACTGCATTAAAAACTACTACATTGTAAGATGTACCCTATTTAATTTAACAGGAAATCTGGAAAAGGTCTTGGATGATAGTGACCTTTCTATTTCTTCTGTCACAGCTCCTTTTCATCCTTGGTACAGCTTTGATTAAACTGCAAAAGAAGCTGGATATGTTGATAGTGCAAGTACCATCCTTCAGACCAGAGCTAGGTAAGATGATGATGTAGTTCTCTAATCTTAGCTGTGGCTATTGGATTTCTTTCAGTGCTGCATTCTGCACCCACAAATGATATTCATGGGGGACTGAATGGGTCAGGGAATTGGTAATGAGCGATAGATCAGTAACCTAGAGGTGAGAGGCTCCGAGTCAGCTCTGACTAGTGGTTACCAAGAGCGACTCACATCTGTGGTGTGTCTGATCTATGTAAAATGAGTTGGTGGTTAGTTGGCAGTTTCAGCAGTCCCAGGATTTAAAGGTGCATGAACCTTTTTCCCCTTGAGGTGCTCCCTCTAGCACAGGGAAAAGGCACATTATAAGCAAGTGGTTGTGGAGATTCTTGTGCAGCATTTACTATGTACATAGCAGGGGACTTGAGTTTTCAGGGAGTTCAATTGAGCACTTTTCTTTATCACTAAAATTCATATGAAGAAACAAAAATCCAAAATATATTCTTGGAGTAGTCTAAGAGGAGGCAGGCAGCTTTTCAAATCCCCTCTGCATCGCTTAGCTATGAACTGAGAGGGACTCAAGCTGTTTTTTCTTTTTTCTTTTTTTAAATATCAGTGCCTTATGTATACAGAAGGCTTTGCTATCCATAGTGCTGGTTGAATAATTTGTTAAATTGCTGAATTTCAGACTTTTTTATTTGCAAATAGATTGGCTCTTAAGAATCTGTACACTTGTAATTGGTTCAAAGTATTTCAACAATTTCATCCTAAAAGTTGCTTTGGAACAGATTTTGCTATTTGCTATTTCTCTCCTATGGTATTGTTTCTGTACTCTAATTGGATAAGTCACTAAAAATAGCACAGGGGGGGCATTTAGGCCCTTGATTCTCTCCATGAGAGGGTGGGAGCTGTTTGTGGGCTTGGGAGGAGCTAGGCCATCATGATTAGAACATGCTTAGGTTATTTTAAAATTTCCTTTCCAGTTGGGTGCAGTCCCTATAATGAAGCTTGTGGATGGCTCCTTGCATGGCTTATTTAATTACTCTGTGCCATGGATTTTGTACTGCCCTAACTAGAGAGTGGAACATACTCCTCTCACTTAACTGCATTAGTGCCAGGAATGGAGTTCAAGGAAACATCTTGAATCTTCTTGGTGTTGTCTGATGTTCACTTAAAATGTCGTCATACTTACTAAATGCATTTATTGAACTTACTGGTGTCCACTTTACCACAGTTATGTCTTGAATAAATTAATATTTTGTGGCAGAGGTGTGTGTGCATTGTCCTTGTGGTTTTGTCAGATCTTTATTATAATATTCCTTATAGCACTGACAGATTATTTCTAAAAGTTATTCTTCTTTTTGTAATTGCCTTTGACAGTCACCTGCACACAGTAAATGGAGGGGTTGTGCTTTAATCACCAGAGATGATGTTTATATGGGTAAGGCAATAGACTCAGGATATCTGGGTTCTTTTCCCCAGCTGTGCCACAGATTTCAGCATAACTTTTGACAATTTACGGTGTCCCTGTTCCCCATTTGTCAAATAGGGAAGTAGTATTATCACCATCTCATGGGAGATGTTTTGAGGAGAAATTGTTAATGCATGTCAGGTGTTCAGAAGATATTACAGTGATAAGAACTAAAATAACGTGACAGTTTGATGCTGCTTCTGCTGTCAGTTCTATAATTTATTTTATTGGCTTTTGTTTAAATGGCTGATACACTGCTTCCACTTTCCTCTCTTTAAACACAATGTATTTAATGACAATACATACCTGTTATGGGCCTGAAATCTTTTCATCAAGAGTCAAAAAGAAAAAATATAAACGAAATATGTCAAAAATGTGATTTCTAACTTGCCAAAAAGTTCATATATTTTCCTACTTCCTCCAGTTTTACTTACAAGTAATATGATCTACTAAGTTCCCCCCGCCCACCTTGTAACTAAATGATTGTCAGCTTAGACATGTCAGGACACTTCCAGTGAGATGCTCAGATAAAAACTGAAATTGCGTATACAAGCAAAACAGGAACTGTAAAAGTGGCACTTACCACCATGCCACTTTTAAAAGCGCTAGTAGAAAATTCACACTCTAGATGAATCTACATCAGTTCCTCCTCTGCACTCTTTCAAATAATGTATAATGCTTATCAAAGAATCTGATAATGTAGCTAGTTCTCTGTAGTGGGAGGCCATGCTGTTACATAAATATATACATATAATGCAAGTGTGGAAGAACCCAGTATGAAAGGCTAAGTGGTGTTCTGGTGTGTTCAATTACTGGGTGATAGAGAGCTAAATTATGGGACTACAGCACTGAAAGATGATTAATACATGTAAAAAAACTCAGGTATAGCTCCAGAATTCACCTTTTTTTAAAAAAAAAGTCCTTTAAAGTACATGCTTTGACAAAGACTTTTTTTTTTTTAAAGTCACCTAAACAGTCTTTCCTCACCTGTGGAGGTTAGTCTCTTTTCCAGACCATTGCAGAATGTGAGCACCTCTTCTCTGATGCCCCTAAACCAAAGGCAGCATAGCCCAAATGCATGAAGTAAGATGAGATGACAAATGCTGTGTAGGAAAGGCCATTGCAGACTGACTGATAAGTAACATTTGAAGCTGTTTATCAAATCAAAATAGATAATTTCAGTTGCCTCCTTTTTATAGGTGCTATTGGACATTTCAAGGCTCCATAAGAGAGTCATGCAAGTGCAGCTTATTCATCTGCACTCTTTATGCCATAACATCAGCACACAAGAAAAAATACAAAGAGACAACAAAAAATCATTTGCCTTTAATTCTCCATGAAGTGGCATCAATCTGCAGCCAAAGGCCAAATCAGAGTTATGCTCCTCGATCTGTTTGCCCACTTCTGTGCCTGACTTGATCATTTGTTATGCCTAACCTTGATTCTGGTCTAAAATGCAGTGGGAGGGGCTAACCACCGTGATTAGGATTCCATCTGAGATCCTAGGCATGTACTTGGGCTGCTAGCTCCTCCTGCCATTCATGCTGTGGCCGCTACACTTCCATTTTGAGAGCGCTAGTTTGATTAGAGCTAGTACGGGTATGTCGACTTGAGCTAGAAATTACTTCTCCAGCATAGAGATACCCTAACCATGTTCTGTACAAACAACCAAGGAATGTGTTTCTGTGGACACCGGGTGAGGAAATCCCACTGAAGTAAATGGGTTCCCTTGCATGGAGCACTTCACAGTATCCTGCTCCAACAGATACACCTTGGTAAAGGTGCAACACAGTTGGGCGAGGTGGAATGATGGCCAAGTTTGCCTTTTAAATCCCCACCTACCCCCTAAAATAACATTCTCTGTTAATGTTTCTCTCCACATACTGGGGTCCTTGTGAATTCTCACCCCTGGTTCTACCAAGTCTTTGTACATGGTTGAACCTATGCCCCAAAGAGCTTACAATCTTACAAAGAAAAAAATAGTGGGTGCATGCAGGGGAGTGAGGGTACTGGAGTGAGACTACAGTGGCATATGAATCTAGCACAGTTTATTTTTGAAGAGCTTTGTGGAAGAAGTGAGACTTGCAGAGGGATTAATTTAATATCTTTGAAGAAGTAAAGTAAAATATGGACATCCAATTTTGCTTTGATGCCACCATTTTTGGTTATTTTTCAGATGATATAAAACGAGGATGAATGCCAGTATCCAAAACCCACCAATTAATTATACACATTCCCTTGATATTTCTCCTTGTAGAATGCTACTGGAAATATAGCAATTCTAGCCGTATTGCTATCTATTCCCATAGTCCCCTCCACAAGAATGCTCTATGCTTGAGTTTTTTAGAACACCACTCTAACCTTTTCTTATTTGAAGTAGGACTTAGAAATAGCAGAACATACACACTTGCAACTACAACCAGCAATATACCCGCATTTCAGTTTTTACAAGTGTGACAATGCTGCTGTACTTTGGAACTAGGGAGGTGGGTGTTCCTTGTATTAAAATTTTCCACACAGGTGAAATTAATGCTGAATTACTTTTTACATAACCCAGTGAAGCCATTTCTGTATTATATAATGTTGGTCTACTTCCAGGGGATACAAACTAGTGTTCACAGTCCACCAGACTTAATCACATCCTTCTTCTGGTCTGATATGTATTGAGATGTGTATTTCTTTGATACCTACGTGACCAGCTAGCAGCCTGACATCCAGCGATGATTGTTGTACAGTTATTGCACAAACAACCTGAGACATCCAAACTGTGAGCAAAAAGCTAGTAAGAAATTTGTGACACTGATAAATAACATCACTTGAATGGATCCTCTCACAAATAAATATCCGCTTACTCATCTCTTCACACACTGGTTTTTCTCTAGTAAGGCTACAGTAGCAGCCAAACCCGTCCATTGTTATAGCCAGGATGAGGAATACAGAGGGGACAGGGTGCCTTGGAGGAACTTTTTGGCTTCCCTTTTAAGAGAAAGTTGAGATACGAAAGTGCAAAGTGTGCCATTGAGAAATTGGGGAGGGGGAGAGGGAGGTGGTGTTCTCTTATTCAGTCTAAGATTTTGATGTGTGTTGGAGGCTTTTCTTTTAATATAAAGCGCTATCAGATATAATTGGATACCTTTTTGCTCTCAATGTCTCCAGACTCTCACTAGTGTAATTCCTTTGACCAGAGATTTACACTGGTGTAAATGAAAGCTGAATTTGCTCTTGTGTGTGAACACTTGTAATGCCATGAATGCCTTGTTTATACAAAGTTGCACCAATTCAACTAAAGCGGTTATTTTAAAACTGTTTTAGATAAACCAGTGCCAAAGTCAGGGAAGACACTTACTTCCATTTAAACCAGGCTTATTTTCATTTAGCTTTAAAAAAGGATTCCTGAATAGAGCTAAACGGCAACAGACCATTCTTTAAAATCAAAGTAAGGGTCTAGAAGTGTTTGCATCACTTTAAATCAGTTTTAAAAACATGTCAAATGAGTGCAACTTTCTCATGTAGTTGATGGGTAAAGTTTCCAGAACTACCTAATGCCCATTTTCAAAAGTTGCTTAGGTGT